ACAAGTATATATCATCAATCTATTAACTGTCAATTAATTGTCAATTATCCTTATTTATTCTTATTTATTCTTATTTATTTTTGTTTTTTTTTTTAGGTCGGTATTGTAGCGATAACTGTTATGGGTGAACCGGTTGACTATTTACTCGCCGGTGAAAGCCAAAAGATTCCAATAGAAGTATGTACTTTATATTCTTTGAATATCTAATTTTATATTTGATATTATTTTATATTATTTATTATTATTTTATATTCTATTTATTTATTTTATTTTATTTATTTTAAAATTTTTAGCACGTAGACGAAGGTGTGTCACGTGTTGCTTCGCCCGAAACTTGTATTATCCCTGGTGTTCATGATGACTCTATGACAGTTGATAATAGTCAACATGATCATCAAAATTTCACTTCATTATATTCCATTCTTCCAAACTCTTCGTCAGCAAATAATAGTTCCACTGCCCTGCCCGATCAAGTTGAAAAACCTGCTACAAGTTCAAATTCTTCAAATGATTTCATGTTGAATTCTAGGCATAGTTCTGATTTAGTACCCGCTTTTGAAAGGGCAAAGCAAAACGCAGTCAAAAGTAATTGTTTTTTATTAAATTAATCTTATTAAATTAATCTAATTAAATTAATCTTATTAAATTAATCTTTTTAATTTAATCTTATTAATTTAATCTTATTAATTTTATCTTATTAATTTAATCTTTTTAATTTAATCTTATTAATTTATATTTAATATTTTTCACTGCCACAGTGGAAGATTTTCGCTTGGCTAAAGTGCTAAAATATGCAATTGAACTTATTAAAAAGGTAAATTTTTTATCTAATCGTCATATTTACAATTTATCAATCATCATATTTACAATTTATCATATTTACAATTTATCATATTTACAATTTATCATATTTACAATTTTCCCAAAAGTCTGCAGAAGATGTTTGTAGACTTGACTCTTTGAAGAAACGGGCTATTGACGAAGAAGATTTTGACAATGCTGATAAATATAAGGTAATTTTTTCTTCATTTGATTTTATGGTTCAAAAAAATACTTTTAATAAATGCAAAAGATTAATTCTTTTTTTTTTTTTTTTAGCGTGAAATTGATTCCATCAAGACATACATATGTAGCTATTTAGAAGAAGAAGGTCTTGATCTTGATGAGTCGGGCGAAGTAATTGTTTTGGATTCTTTAGATCCGGAATTGGCTGACATAATTGGATTGGCTGAAGATTCATCTGAGGTTAGTAATTAACTTTGAAAACAAAGTTATTTATAAAAATGAACGGAATCCGATACTTCTTGCCCATACTTGTATACTTGTAATATCTTGTAATATTTTTGTAAAATATTCTTGTATATGGAAATCATTATCCAATTATTTGTGATAATAATTATTATTATTGTTATTATTATACATTCATTGATAAAGAAAATTAGGTCAAGTTTATAGTATAAATATCTTGTAAAATTAAGAGTCGATTATATTTTATAGTATCTATATATTTTGTTTTATATACTATATGCTTTTATATTTTATAATATATATTTTACTCTTGGTTATATTCATCATGTTTTTGTTGTTTATTTTTTGATTGCTTATAATAGAATTACTATAAATCTCACAATGAATACACTCCTTATGTACCTGTACCTGGTGTACCTGGTGTGCCCTCTGGAGGGGTTTATCAAGACAAACATCATATCCCAGTTGGTTATGTAGATGTTTCACAGCGTCAGAAAAGTCGATCAAGCAGTAATTCTTCCACAACTCGAATGTCCGGCTCTGTTGTTGTTCAATCACCTCCATCTTTACGTATTCCGATAAATCAAACTGATAGTAGTAGTTTTCCAATGGATAGACCTCATCATCCTGAACCTATAAGTCCTACTACTACTCATCCAACTACTCCAACTCCAACGATTGATATTCCTATAGTTTCTGTTGATGATCGTCCTTTACCTGCTTTATCGAAAGTTAATCCTAATCCTCCTATACCTACATCTCCTTTAAGTGATCTTAATGATAATCAACCTGAAGAACTTACTGATTTAGCACGTACTGCTTTTGATATTCCAATACAATATTTTGGAGAATATGATATTGCTTGTCTTTTATCGAAAAAGTTTCCTTTACGTGAATCTGCTTTAGCTAATGTTACTAATAGAATTGATGTAGATCTTGGTAATGGTAAAGAAATCGAAGGAAATGATAAAGTATGTTTATTATATTAATTAATTAAAATAATTAATTATTACACTATTTAATTAATTAATTAATTGTTACGTTAATTTTCTTAGATTGGAATAATAAAAGCAACATTCCAAATTATACAAGAAGCTCTGAATGATAATCCTGAAAAACTTACCTTACAAGCATTAAATCTTTGGGAAACACTTACCAAATTCTGTGTTCATCATCAAGTACCAACATCAACCACATGGAAATTTGTTGATAAAACATTCGGGCAATTATTTGGAAAAGTATCGGATTCAAATTCACGTATAAAACAAAATGCAATAAATTTATTCATCTTACTTGCAAAAACATATCATGGACCAATTCATTCGATAACTTTATTGGTTCTTAAACCGGCTAAATTTAATAATCAACCTCCAAAACAATCAAAAGCTAAAGTTGAACTTGTTACAAGATTGGTGGAAGAATTTGGTATTGCTTTGGATTCTCCAAAAGGAAAATGTGATAAAGATCTTGGTCTAAATCTTGAAGTATGTATTATTATTTTCAAATTGTGTAATACAATTAATAGTGATATAATTAATAGCAATATTAATATTAATTAATATTTATTATATTATAAAAATAGGCTGTTATGCAAGTTTCCGTATCTTACTTAAATAATAATAACGGTGAAGTACGTGATTCTGCCGTAAAACTTGTAGTTGAAGTTGTTAAACGTGTTGGTCGAGAAAAGGTTGAACCTTTCATTAGCGATATAAAACCTATACTTTTGGAGAATATTTGGAATTTAGTTACTGAATATGAAGAAACTACTGGAAGAATAGCAGGCCAAGTTCTTTCTCCTCCACCATCACCTAAGGTTGCTGCTACTACCATTATAGAGAAAGAAAAGCAAGATATTGAAGATTTAGAAGTTAATGAAGAATTATTAAAAACTCCACGAGCTAAACGTGGAACTGTAACACGACTTGAACAAGAATTAATGGAATTAAAATCAAGGTTTAACAATGCAAATAATTTGATCAAGGAGGATTATAGTACATATATTGCAAATGCTTCCAAAAAAGTTCAAGCACCTGAAGAAATAGAAGAGTTAACCGAACAAGAGTTAAGAGAATTAGAAGAATTAGAAGCTGAAGAAGAAGAATTACGTAAAAATTCTCAAAATGTAGAAAATGTAGAAACTGTCCCTGAAATTCCACCAAAAAGTAAAGTTCTTACAAAAGGTCCTACAAGAACCGTAAATAAAACATCATCATCTACTTCTGGAAAACAAAGTACAAAGAAATCAAAAAGTGAGACTGTAACACCAAAAAAAACTTTAAAAAGTACTCCTAACTCTAAAAGTACTCCATCTCGACGTGAGACAACTGAAGATAAAAAGGTCTTAAGGAAAAACTCTTCTAAATCAACTGATGCAACTTTACGTGAAGAACCTGAAGATAATGTCCCCTCCGAATCAAAAGGCGATAGGTAAAATTTTATCAATTTATCAATAATAGTAATAGTAATAAGATCAATTAACTCAATAATCAGTAATAATAAGTAATAAAATTTTTTTTATTGTATTCTTTATTGTTATTATTGTTTAAACAAATAGATTCTGTATCTTTTGTGATGAGTACGACGAAAAATTCACAGAAGAAAATTTGGTGACACATTATTGGAATGAATGCCCGGTATTGACTAAATGCCGGTTATGTAATATAGTAAGTGAATTTTTTACTTTTATTGTGCATTTAAAATAAAATATTATTTAAAATAAATATTTAAAATAATATTATTTAAAATAAATAATATTATTTAAAATGAATATTATTTAAAATAATATTATTTAAAATAAATATTATTTAAAATAATATTATTGCATATCTTGTAGATCCTTGAAATTTCGACACTTGATGATCATATGTTAACAGATTGTGATAAAAACAAATTTGTTAAGCAATGTCCCACATGTCGTGAAGTTGTTGATGCTGATGATTACTTGGCACACATTAACAAACAAACTTGCTTGGCTATCAGAGATGACATTGTTCGATGTCCACTTTGTAAAACAGTAATTAAACCAGCAACTGAAGAAGGTTGGAAATCACATTTATTGAATGCTAATGGATGTCCAAAGAATCGTAGAAAGCCTACAAATAAGTCTGATGCACCTTCAACAGAAAGTTCTACACTTAGCGGTAAAAAACATGCACTAAAAAAGATTACTGAAACTGGATCAAAATCATCTGTAGCTTCTAAAGCTCCTGGCAAGAGTAAGGTTACAACATCTAGTGGTAGTAGTAAAGACAAATTAAAGAAATCTGCAACAAAATCTTCGAAAATCAGAAAGTAAATATTATTTAGGGAAACAAAAAAAAACAATGGTTTACGAATTTTTATTTTTTTTATGAATTTTATGTTGGACAAAAGAGGTAATTAGATTTAAAGATTTAAGAATATATTTAGCAATTAGGCTGAGGGTTAGTTCCTTACAAAGACATTTTTCGGGGAATCGTGTCATATTTATTTATATACTTATATTATTTATATAGTTTAGTCAATTCATTATCTCTTTTTTGTTCAAATTTTCTTTTTTTTCATTTATTTTCTTTTCTTTTTGGCTTTATAATTAGAACATTTTGTTCAAATGAAAAATCATTTAAAAAAAATTTTTTTTTTTATAAATCAAAAAAGTACGCATTTAAATTTGGGGTAGCATTTTTTTTTTTTTTCTCTTGTTTACAGAGTACATATGTCTACATACAAATTTCTTTAGCCCTATATTTTCGGTTCAGTATTTTTTTTGCAATCCGCATTTTTCTTGTACAAGTATCATCATCATTATTGCAAAATTTTAAGTTGAGCTCTTGCCTTTTTTTTTTTTTTTTTTTGGCATCCTAGTCTAATACATTTAACACATGTTGCTTACGTTGAATTAGACCTTTATGTACGTATTAGAAAAAAGGAATTTTTTAATGAAAAAAAAAATTGAACATTTTTTTTTTTTTTTTATCATTCTTATTACGTAATAGTTTTTCAAAAAAAAAAAGTTATTGGGTTCTTGTAAATTTTAGTTGGAAAATGCGTGTTTATATTTTATTTTTTGGGGCAAGTTACGAACTTTGAATTTCTTAATATGGAGCTATCAAATATATTAAATTTGTATAGTTATGTTTATAAAGTTAAAAAAAAAAAAAAACAAAAAAAAACGATATTATATATTTTACTAATTTTAATAAAGTGAGTGGTGTGTTTATTTTGAATATGCGTACGTACAATACGTAGTGATGGTATTTTATTTTGTCTATATATTTTATTATTTTATTATCAAAATCAGTATCAATATGTATAATTAATTTCATGCTAAGTATTTCACGGTTCGTTTTTACACAAGACTTTAAAATTTTATTGGTTTCAGACCAGAAATCGATTTTCGTTTAACATAATATTACCCAGAACACGAAAATACATCTTTTGAAATCAAAATTTTGATCAAATAAGCACGACCAAATTTGATAAATTTTTTAGATGGCAAAAAGACAATAGAGACCCGCCTCCATGGCGACCCTACATATAGCAGCCAATCATATTTAAGGTTCGAAAATTTTCTTTTGTATTTTTTTATTATAAAGTTATAAAATTTGTAAAAAATTTTTATTGGGCGATAATAAGCAATATATTATATAGTCATATGTTCAATTTTGATTGGCTTTTCATATAGGGTCGCCAGGCGACCCGTCGCCATAAACTAACGCCCTTTTTGGATTATAAAAAATTTAAAATTTAAGGGTAGGGTGAATGTCAATCGATTTTCGTATGAAAGCCTGATGGCATTTTTTTTCGTGTAACATCGTGTAACATGTGTAGAAATAGAATAAATCTAGAGTCTTTCATGTCAAAAAAGCAATTTAAAATTTGAACCGGTTATATTTTTCATTTGTTAAAACCGACTTGACATATGAAAATAAAACCGGCTTCCAAACTCTTTTACATGCGAAAGCAGGTTGATATATTGAGAAGTTTATAATTTTAAAAAATTGGTATATCAAGTCTTCGCTATAGATCAATACATGCAATGATTTTTATTTTTTAAATGATTACAGGCGTCAAATTGAAATTAATTTTTTATCCAGTACAGCCAAGTCTCTGCTTGGACAAGTGAGTTTGCATTCATTGTCACACCTTCTATTATAATGTTGCAAGTTAGGTAAGCTGTATTTTTCTTTCTTTTTAACAAAATTGTCTGCTTAACAAGCCCACAGCGAACGAGATCTGAAAGTGCCAATTTAGCTAACATCTTTGTATTTAATATTTTTGGTTTTGGGCGATTACTAATATCTAATAATTTTA